ATTCACATTGAGATACGGTATGACGAAAAATTCTATTTCTCCACACATTTATTGGATCAGCCCTTTCCTGCACACCAATCAGGATTACCTGTCATAATCCTGGCAGATCTCACCCACAGCTATCAAAGCCTTCAGGTACTCGTTGGGTTGGTACGGGTTGATGTAGTGGAGGGAGCAGCTATTGCGGGGGTCTCCGTTTGATGCCGTGAAATCGATGGCAACCTGGAGGAAGAGACGCATCATCAGGCATCCTGTTCACGTTCTGAACATAAAAGCGACACGGGAAGTCACTGCCAGGTCCTATTTTAGAGCTCAGTAAATAAGTTCTAATGAGCGAGTGTTGCTGTAGGAAAGCGGTCTCTTACGGATGTAATAGAGTCTATCTCGGAAAGTCAGCCGCAAGACGGTTTCGGTGCCTTCGGTGAAGCCGTATGAGAAGCAGAACGGCTGATGTATATACACGAGTAGCATTAAATGTGAAGATGCAACGCGAGTGTAGAATTCAAAGCAAGTTAAGATCTGCTTTACATTGTAAAATGGAAAGACAGCATTTCCAAATTAATGTTAACCACTCAACTAGTCTCATACTATGCAACCCTTGGCACCACACAGAGTAAAGAATAAAACCCTCCCTGTCGTGCTGGTACAATTAATCAATGGTACAATCAATCAATCTTTTATTCCTCTTACACCACAGCAACTTGCCAACAATTCTCAGAAACCATGAGGTATTAATAGCGCATTAATATAAGCCTGTGATTTAAAGCTGAAGTACTGTCAGTGCTGCTGTTGTAGAAACGAATCCAACCAATCAGAATCAAGAATTCAACCACTCTGCAGTAGAAAAGAATATAAATGATTCATTCAAGCGGCTTGGTGGATTCCGAGCCCTACCCTGGGGCAATTTCGAGTTTTTGGGAGGTGCGGCGAAACCGGAGAACCTCAAGGAAACCCACACGTATATACGGAGGACATACAAAACTCTACATGGACAGTGACGTGAGCTAAGGATTGAACCAGGAACCCTGGAGCTGTGAGGCGGCAATGTTTCGGTACACCAAAACATAAACGATTTTATATTATATTACCGACTTTCATCCCGCGTGAAAATCTGCATTAATATTTACTCATTAACATTTGTTCATTCATTTTCCCAACTGTCATCCTCCAGGCGTGGTTGATATTGAGAGTCTGTGGACCGGTCGAGATTTTAATTCATTCATGCCTTTGCGTCTGGCAGGACAATTTTCGAGCAACAATGACTCACTTTCACACTCTGGGGAAAAACTGAAAGTGCAAGCGAGCCAGCCAGGACGATCTTACAATGTGATATAGCGAGTGTTTAGTCAGTAGAGCAGTTGAATATGATGAGAAAAGTCGATGCCGACCAGGACACGGGGTGCAGAAATGTGCATGCATTAGCAAGCAGAGAATGGATTCTTCATTGTTTAGGAACACTCCGGCGTTTGCATTTGGCACGGTACTTACTGTAAAGTGTATCTGGCATCCTCCCATTATGTAGTCCAGGAAGGAGTAAACTCTGTGGAGCTGTGGAACAGAGAGCTCAGCGTAAATCTCAGAGCACAGTGACCCGGTGAGATGAACAGCAAAGCAGTCAGATATCAGAGCGGACGCTGGCAATTATTTTACTGCAATGGATTGTATGACTCATGGGTACAATTAAAATCTAAATCATGTTGCCTGATACATGATGATCAATATTAAACGATATGGGTTAAAAAAAAAATACCTAGCATCGTAACTAATAATAAACACGTCAAATTCATTACCCTACATTTTGTGTGTCTTAGTTTTCCACTGAGTCTTAAAAACGTAACAAATTCCGATATTTAACATCATTAGCTCTCTAGCCAAGTTTTCACTGGTGCACAGGGTTGCCAGGTCTCAGCAGAGATTTTCACCCCAAACACATCTAAAAAAAAAAACAAACAAAAAAAAAAAACAACCCCACACAAACAGACAGCACACACAGAAAGAAAAAAACTATGGAAAAAGGCGATGGATTGCTTCATGTTTCTCAGACTTTCCATCTGTGACCATGTTTCAAATTGAGCCGATTTGGTGAACGGGGGGCTAAAAACAACGTTTTGCTCTGCTGGTGTGTTTTGGTGTCTCAAGGGGGCGTGTCTGAAGTCACGCAGCTCTCTGTAGCTCCAACATGTCTTTGAATCCTGCGCTCTTCACTGTACAAAGAGAAGTCGCATCTCTCATCATCTGCAACCATGTGGTCGGTCTTGAACCTGGATTGAATCCGTGGGGAACTTTTTCAGAAGAAGGAGTATGGGCTTGATTAAGTTTAGATGTTTATTACACTTCACATAATGTAAGCGATATTTTATGACAAATAGCTGACTTTATCACGGAGTCTGGCAAACGTATTGTTTGATACGCAGATCAAATCAAGAGCTTCGTACTGAAATATACATCATGATACAATATGCATGATAGTTTACCGCTTGATCTATCCAAATAGTAAATGGTCTGCACTTATATAGCGCTTTTATCCAAAGCGCTTTACACTGGTTCTCATTCACACATTCACACACACACACACACACACACACACACACACTCACACACCAGTGGTAGCAGGGCTGCCATGCAAGGTGCTAACTTGCCATCGGGAGCAACTTGGGGTTCAGTGTCTCGCCCAAGGACACTTTGGCATGTGGAGTCACGGGGGCTGGGAATCAAACCGCCAACCCTACGATTAGTGGACGACCCGCTCTACCACCTGATCCACAGCCTCCCCACTTATTATCCGCTTATTATTCGATAATTATAGTGATAAGAAGTCTTAAGAAAGGTGTGGAGTTATGACATTGAGGAATGTTAAGTCTAGACTCTCCCTCGAGTTTAATACTCTATGGCAACCAAGACAATTATTTTGACCTTATTAAAGTTTTTGGCATGTAATTGCTTTGAGGAAAAAAAAAAAAAGTCCCATGTCCACTGATCCCTGACGTTCATTAAATTAGGACCATACTTTGAGCGTCTATATTGAGGATTTAAGGCTAAAATCGCTTAATACAGCGCCTCCCTCATGGGGCCGATATCGTCCAAGAATACTGCACTTAAGTCCAAGGTACTACTTGTATTGTTCCCAGCTTGATATATCGCTTTGCTTATTTGTAAGTCGCTTTGGATAAAAGCGTCTGCTAAATGAATAAATGTAAATGTAAATGTAGGTCAGAATCATTCATAACTGAGAAATGCTTCATACTCCAGGCATATGTATCTCTTGCATAATGTGTCTAGGGTCTGAAAAGTGATGTGTTCTTAAATCCGCAGTAGAGCTTGAGACGTTTTCTTGGAATTGGGCAGTAGTGGCTCAGCGGTTAAGGCTCTGGATTACTGATCAGAAGGTTGGGGGTTCAAGCCCCAACAAAAAACAGTTGTGCACAAACACAGGAAGTGATACAGACAACAGAAGAAGACATTCAAAAATGTGAGTGAGGGGGCAGTCTGGGGGAGAATTGTCCATGATGAGTGTGACACCAACTAGTTTCAAGGCTAGTTAAATGCAATTTTAACTTTCAGTTAAATGCAATTTTATGTCTATAGTAGGGATGTCACGAGAACCGATACTTCGGTACCAACATTCCTAAAACGTGACGGTACTTGTTTTTCTGCACTAGTGTTGGTAATGACAGTACCGTGGTTGCAATTCTTCCAGAACTGAAGGGGGCAGCAAATACGCATAAGCGTTTTAGTCGGTCCACAAGTGGTAAAGAAGAAGAAGAAGAAGAAGAACGCCTACAAGCACACGAGAAAAACTACAGAAATGGCAACAAGTTTAGCTCCACCCCGACTCGTTGAGAGGCAGAGAGAGGAAAGCTCGTTGAGAGGAAAGGTAGCATCGGTTGCCGGTGTGCAACCGATGCTATCATTCATTTCAAACAAAGCGAGGAAAACCTGGAATTCGGTGAAGCACCTGAAAGCGGGCCCTATATTATGTTTAAGACAGCTGGCATTGTAGCCGTGAAACAAGCTAACGTTATGCTCCATGTAATGTTTGCGATAGCTTGTTATTTGTTAACGACGCTAACGCATTGCAGTGTTATAAACTACCTCCTAATGGGCCACCATGCATCGCCATTCAGCCCGTGTCCTGTCAGCTAGCCTCATGTCACTAATAATTATTCACATGTTCATGCTTTTAATAAATCTTTTTGGCCTGCCGCCATATCAGTGAATTGATGAATAAGTTCCCTTCTATACATGTATATTATACAGTCAGAAAGTGCCAACAGTTTGAACAGGAGCTTGACTAAGAGTATCAGAGTCATTTCAGAATTCATTATCGTTTTAACTTTCATTTAAGCTCGATCTTGACTTTGACTCTACCCCCTTAAGACTCTGTCTCAGCTAGTCCTGGTCTTGGACTTGTCTTAGATTTGACAATGGAGGTCTTGAATACAGTCCTATTCCTCACTGTGCACGCTTTAGGTTAAATGCAAATAATTCACTTTATCAGATTTTCCTTAAAGGATACTGCAACGTTAATCCGCTTATTAAGCCTGACGTCACGTGTGGCGTAACGCTCCTTCAGAGGCCAAAAGCGAACTGCAAAAGTTGACGTTTAAAGATGATACGCCATGAACTGGCTGAAGTATTTCTAAAAAAAAAAAAAAACGTACAGGACTGCTATGACTTTGAACATAGGTGCACATTAGGGTCCGTCAGTGAGGTACTGTACAGTACCTGCGAGTGTCCAATCATCAGAGACAAGCCATCATATCATTTGGCAGCTTTAGTGATTTGGTTGGAGAAAAATGTGTCCCGCTCCGACGTGGAATGCATGTGGAAGAGGGTGAAGACACTAAAAACGGACGACATGGCAGCCAACGAGTTTCTGCGAGGACACATTTGTAGTTGATGTTGCATGATTTTAATTATCTGCTTAATGTTATGTGGTTTAAAGCCATCGTATTGTGTGAAGATGAACAGTGTCTAGCAAACGCTGCGAAAATGGTTGGGGCAGTGGTGGCTTGGTGGTTAAGGCTCTGGGTGTCTAATCAGAAGGTCGGGGGTTCAAGCCCCAGCACTGCCAAGCTCCCGTTGTTGGGCCCTTGAGCAAGGCCCTTAACCCTCTCTGCTCCAGGGGCGCTGTATAATGGCTGAGCCTGCACTCTGACCCCAACTTCCTGGCATGCTGGGGTATGCGAAGAAAAGAATTTCACCGTGATTAATAAAGACTCATTATCATTATAGAATCTTTCTCTCCTAGTGACCTGTGAGGGACAGTAACCGTTGTTGTCACAATAAATAATTTGAAGTTCTTGCTTTGATGTCAAATAAGTCTTACTGTTTTAAAGCAGTGTTGCTGTTGGTCAGTGATACAGCTACGGTTGTATATCTGGGTTTTAAAGCAGGTTGGATTATTTTATTTTCTCTGCTCAGTCTGTGTTTACAGCAATTTCACTGTCCGCTTCATTCAAATGTCAAGGAATGTATACACACAGACGTGTGCACACTGCCAGAGCCGTGTGAGAACACTACCATGCTGCGTTTGTGGGATATGGGTAGGAGTGGTTGGTAAATAAATAAATAAATAAATAATGCTGCCGATTATGGCTGTCTTTCTTGTCAGTTCAGTTGTTTCTTTTTTATATTGGTTTCGTAACAATCGAGACGCTCTTTATTCCACAGATACTACAAGCTAGTCAGTGTATTCAGTAGGTTGCTCCAGAGGCAGAAGGTATCGTAAGTATTACATACAACAATGCAACGGTAATAAAGCAATGCGTTGACATAAAAAAGGGAAATTTACTTTTGATACTAAAGTACTTTTAAAAGCAAGTACTGCTGCACTTTTACCTAAGTAAAAATCTCTCTTTACAACTTTCACAGTCATATCTGACCAGTAGTGTCTGTACTTTCACTCAGGTAATGGAGTAAAGCAAACCCGGAAGCAGTATTAACGGAAGCTCGTTATGTCACGACTTAACAAGCGGATTGTGTACCATACGCCGTCCCTATATGGTGCGCTTATGGATCAATTAATAAATAATGGTCAAAACGTAAAATTGTCATTTGCCCACCTGACATTTCTTGTGAGATTAAAATAATAATAATAATGAGTCTTTATTGGTCACATTACAGTGAAATTCTTTTCTTCGCATACCCCTGCATGTTAGGGGGATGGGGTCAGGGCGCAGGGTCAGCCGTGATACAGCGCTCCCTGGAGCAGGGAGGGGTGGGGGCTTTGATCAAGGGCCCAAAAGGGGCAACTTGGCAGTTCTGAGGCTTGAACCCCCGACCGTCTGATCAGTAACCCAGAGCCTTATCCACTAAGCCAGCGATGGATGGATGGATGGATGGATGGATGGATGGATGGATGGATGGATGGATGGATGGATGGATGGATGGATGGATGGATGGATGGATGGATGGATGGATGGATGGAAATTTTAGCCTGTGTTACAGAACGAATAAGCGTTCATAATTCAAAGCAGTCCGAATAACCACACCGGTTAATCTAGTAGTTGTATAATTTCAGCCTTTTAAGTGTTTCGGGGTTAAAAAAGCATGTTTCTGAAAAGTGTTATGTAACCAAGAATTAGTGCTCAAATTAGTATTTGTAGCAGAAGAGCAGAGATGTACGATAGCTCTATATTCTCTTTTCTCTTCATCTGACACCAACCCACACAGAATTATGTATTGATTCCTTTCTCAATGAATCCAAACCCATGATGAAAGGAGCGTCAGCGGAATGAGGTAATGGGAAAGCTTTATCTTTAAAAGCATGGCTTTTTGAAAATATACACAGCAATGCGAACAACACAGAGACACTCAGGACATACACACACAGGCGCACACACACACACACACACACACACACACACACACACACACACACACACACACACACGCTCCTGCACTGTCTTGAAACATTCACTTCAGAGACACACACACACATACACACATACACACACACACACACACACTCTCCTGCACTGTCTTGAAACATTCACTTCAGAGACACACACACACATACACACACACACACACACACACGCACACACACACACGCACACACTCCTGCACTGTCTCGAGTTGAGACGTTCACCACACACACACACACACACACACACACACACACTCTCTCTCTCCTGCATTAATATCACTGCATTCCCATAAACACTAACTCATCATGGTAATGATCTGATGGAGTTACACCACTCCTGCCTCCTACCTTCAGATCGGTGAGGATGACCAGGCCAGAGTTCTTGTAGTTCTTCTTCTTCACTTTGTACTTTGGGTTCACGCAGTCCCATGTGACCTTCAGGAGCACAGCGAGAGAGCGGAGAACAAGGCTGAGCTGGTTCATGGGAGCACAAACTTATGTAACATGATTTATTTTTACTTATTCGGCTAAGACATAGAGCTTGGCATTAGATACTGTTTTTGATTTACACATTATTATACAATAGTTTACACTCATTTGCAACTAAATCTAACCACAGTGCTGTGGACAAATATCACAGACGTTAACTAAGCGTCAGCTCCATAGAACAGGATTCTGACATGTTCTGACGTTAGTAGCTAGCTACGTTTACTACCAAGCTAATGTGAGACTATTATCTAATAATATTATACAGGTGCATCTCAAAAAATTGAAATATCGTGGAAAAGTTCAGGGGGTTTTTCCCGTAATTTAATTCACAAAGTGGAACTTTCATATATTTTAGATTCAATACACATAAAGTGGAATATTTCAAGGTTGTTGTTTTTTTTTGTTTAATTCTTGACGATTACGGCTTACAGCTCATGCAAGTGAAACATCCAGTATCTCAGAATATTAGAATAAAGAATTTATAATAGAGAAACGTCGACCTGATGATAAGTATGTTCATTTATGAGCTGATACTCGGTCAGGGTTTGAATCCTTTTGCATGAATTACTGCATCAGTGCGGCGCGGCGTGGAGGCGATCAGCCTGTGGCGCTGCTGAGATGTTCTGGAAGCCCAGGTTGCTTTGATAGCGGCCTTCAGCTCGTCTGTATTGTTGGGTCTGGTGTCTCTCATAGATTCTCCATGGGGTTCGGGTCAGGCGAGTCGGCTGGACGATCAAGCACAGTAACACCGTTTATTAAACCAGTTACTAGAAGTTTTGGCACTGTGGGCAGATAAATCAGGAAATCAGCATCTCCTTATCAAAATCTTATCAGCAGATGGAAGCATGAAGTTCTCTAAAATCTCCTGGTAGACTCTCCGCTGCATCGACTTGAGAAAACACCATGGACCAACACCAGTAGATGACATGGCACCCCAAATCATCACTGACTGTGGAAACTTCACACTGGACTTCAAGTAACTTGGATTCTGTTCCTCTCCACTCATCCTCCAGACTCTGGGACCTTGATTTCCAAATGAAACGCAACATTTACTTTCATCTTCCCCGTGACTATGGTTGTGTACTGAACCAGACTGAGAGATCAAAGGCTCAGGAAACCTTTACAGGTGTTTTGAGTTAATTCGCTGATTAGAGTCGTCTCAGGTCGACATTTCTGTATTATAAATTCTTTTTGAAAAATTTTTAAATTGTTTTTTTGTTGTTTTTTTTTAAAAGGAAGGCTTTCATTTGAGTCATCCTCCTAAACACCTATATATAGTGTAATTAAATGTAGCAAGTTCATTAGCAAGCTAGCTAGTGTTACGCGAACTACTTTATTGTGTATTTTAAAAAGTTTTACCAATGTACCCAAAAAATTTTAGAAAACGAGCAAACATCTAATACTGGTACATCTCATCTCAGTTTCTTGTCAGATTAAAGTTTTTTTTTTGTTTGTTTGTTTTGTATGTCAGAAAGCAATACGTTAAATAACAGACCGATGACGGCTGGTTTTTAAAAAAGTGCAACAGATTCTCCAAGATTCGATATTTTGTCACGGTAAATATTGATTGTTGTTTAGTTTATTACAGTTTATTGCTCTACGTTGTATTTGTTTTTTATGTAGAAATGTCTAATTTAATTATTTTTGAAGGCATCATTGCTTCACAGCTTTTTCTGTATATATATATATATATATATATATATATATATATATATATATATATATATACACACACATACATACATATATACAGTACATTTGCCACTTCTTTTGGCTTCTCAATCGAAGAAAACTGGTTCATTCATGACGCACATCAATGCGGCGTCTCTCACTGACCTTGTTTCCTCCAGAAGCTTGCTGCATCTCTTTGAACGTAGCGTAGAACTCGCCAATGAAGTCATGCTTCCCTCTCGAGTCATAATCCCACACCAGGCACTGCGGGGTCAACAACCAGTGCGATTATTTCACATTTCGTTCACTTTTTACGAATCGTCACTTGTTCCGTCGCGTTCACTTGCGCACCTTTAACTTCCTGTCCTCGTCACAGCTGCACAGGGAAATGAGGGAGACTTTGAACGGCTGCCACACAGGGTTCAGGTTGTTCTTGATCACCTGTGACGAGTATAAAAATAAAGCACTAAACACGGGAACGACAGGAAGAATCGCGAATTGCTCTTCGGTGAAGCAACACCACTCACTTCTGTTCTGTGTACAAGCTGCTCTGTGCTGTCATCGTTCACGCGATAAATCTCCAAGAATGGATCGGACTTGCTGAAGAGGTCCTACAGACGCACACATCAACAAGGCTTCGGTTAGGATAGAAGCGAGCGGCGAAAATAAAGTCTGATTCAATTTAAAAAGTACGATAGAAATATATATTTTACAGAAAATGCACATGCATATAAATGTATAAAAAAATAATTAAATCAAGAAAATATAACCCCACCCCCCCCACACACACACACACACACACACTTCTTTATGATAGAACCGAGCGGTGTAAATGAAATAAAATCTAAATTAAACAAAAAATAATCTGATAGAATTGCACAATAAGTAATCGCTCTTCGGGTGAGGCCTCGTGCAGCAGGAAATTGAGTCGAATCTTATTCTCCTTGGTTCACTTAATGGTGCGCTGCCGCTGTTTTCTCTCACAGCTGTGACCAATCAAATCAGGAAAACAATCATTTGACATGTATCTTTGAGTCACGGCT